AGATGGGACGAGGGCATCCGCGAGCTTCTCCACTCTTCCTGACGCCGCAGACAGCCGACACCGGACACCGCGCATGCACTACGGCCTCGATGGATCCACGTGGCTGCATCCGGCGACGCCGCTCGAGTGCAAGCGGTTGGAAGGCAGCTCTGTCAGCGGCACCTCTCCGTGAGCACGGGCGCTCGACGCGCGCAGCGCTTCTCTCCTTGCGATGCCGCGGCCTTGCCCGCCTCGCTGTTCGGGAGCCCCGGGGAGTGCCCGCACGGGCGTGCCGATGCCATCCGACCGTCCCGGGCTGCGAATGTCCCGCGTGCCTGGCCCGCCCGCTGGGTCTGCCCGTCCGGCCCGCCTTGTGCCACGGTTTGTCCTCCCTGCTCCCTCCTCCCTTCCTCCCTTCCTCCCTTCCTCCCTTCCCTTCGTCCTCCCTCCCCCCCTCCCCTCCCTCTTCCCCTCTCCTCTCTCCTTCCTCCACCCTCGCGCTCCTTCCCTCCCTCTTCCCTAGACGATGCCGAGTAGAAGCAGCAGCAGGAACAGCAGCAACAGCAAGCGGGTCAAGTTGCAGGCCTCTACGCGTGGTGTCCGTAATCGGTGCAGTTCGGGGTCGTGGCCCTGGAGCGACAGCCAACAGTATCGTTTGCGGCATTTCGGACGAACAGGCATCGTAAGGCACCCTGGTGCGGGGGGGCTGAGCAGGGCCCGACGGTATCGTCATGAGAGGCCCGCAGCAAACGCTCTGACACATGCAGATTTGCGTTTGCGACGTGCTGACAGGAACCCTGTGTGTAGTTCATTGCCTGAAGGCTCCGCAAGGGGAAGCGGGCATGAACGTATACGCACGCTTACAAACTCGTGTACACGGTAAGCAACGCGTCACATACATCACGCGCTTGCCGACATGCCCAGCCCCAGACGTGCATCTGCCCATGTGGCTCCCGAGGCCAGCTGCAGCGCCCGAGGGCGTCTGCCAGGACGCTTTTCGAGCCGGCTGGCGCGCCCGAAGGTGCATGTGTATGCGCCGCATGCGCGTACCCCACATTGGCTTACACGAGCGTCAGTCTTTCGGACTCTGGCAAGGTGAGCGGCTTCGCCTCTCGCCCCATCCGGCACTTGGTGCGTGGTCGTTGCATCCGCGGCGGATGACATTGAAGAGCCGTCCCCCGGGGGGGGCTCGTCTTCCCACCGAGGATGCATGCACACCCAGCCACACGTACGCATGCATAATTCGCTTCTGTGTGCGTGGGCACAGGAACACATGCGTGAAGCGCGTCCGCTCCAGGCACGGCGCTGCGCTGGCCGCTGCTGGTGGTCGTCGTCATGATGGCGGCCGGCCTCTGCTGCATGCGACCACACCAGAGGCATCCGCAGAGTCGTGGGGTCAAGGAGTACAGCGAGGAGGAGCGAGGAGGAGAAGGTACTGACACCGCTGCCCTTGTGTTGCTTTCGCTTTTTGTACATCCTGGGATGCCCTGGTAACCACCTCTGGATTCGCTTCGAAACCCTGGTCAGAACGCACCCCGGGAAAGGTCCGGGGAGTAGCAGTATCGGCCCGTGTTGGTGTCCCCAAAGAGGAGGAGGATGAGGAGGAAGGTGTGGCGGAGGCAGAGGCGGAGGAGGGAGGAGGGAGGAGGGAGGAGGCAGGAGGGAGGAGGGAGGAAGGAGGAGGAGGAGGAGGAAGAGGAGGAGGACCAGCGTAAACCCCAGAGTCATCAACGATGTTGGAATAAATCCTCCCTCCAAGCTCCCTCTTCATAGGCCCCTGCAGGGATTCATTTTCACTGAGTAAGCTGCCTCGTTTGAAGTCAACCGTATGAAGACCCTGAAGCATGCCAAAACATCGTTCTCGGGATTTCAGCGCTACGGATCAACATGACTGTTGCGTCGTGACGATCCTGAATCGTACCAGAACACCATTCTTGGGACTTCAACGCCGCGAACCAACGTAACTGTTGCACCCGCATGATCCTGAATCCGTCCAAACACCCCTTCTGGTAAGCTGATCATGGAAATCCGTGAAATTCGTGCCACTTTTCTAAACGAATGTGCGCGGTGCTCAGGCGAGAGCCACATTTTGAAAATGAACCGCCCTCAATCCGTGAAACTCTTGCAATGTGCGCGGCGCTAAGGCGAGAGCTAGACCTTGAAAACGGGTCGCCCTCAATCCGTGACACCCTTGCAATTTGCAATTTGTTAAAACGAATGTGCGCCGCGCTAAGGCGAGAGCCACATTTTGGAAACTGGTTGTCCTCAATCCGCGAGTCGCTTGCAAACGTTGAAGACGAGTGTGCGCGGCGCTGAGGCGAGACACACATTTTGGAAGCCACCCGCCCTCCATCTGTGAAACTGTTGCCAAATTTTGAGCTCCATCATGAGGTCCCAGGTGGCCACGCTGGCCACCAGCGAGATCCGCTTTGGCGCGCCTTGCTTGCCGTCCTCCTCGAGGCGCGCTGGGCTCGCGGCAGGCCTCGCGGGCTTGTGCGCGCCGTGCGCCCACGTGGTGGGGCGATCCTCCAGCATGCGGTTCCCCGCGGGGGCGGCGAGGGCGCGGGCGTCCGATTCGCCGCAGGAGCGGCGACATGACGCCAGAGAGACTTTCGGTTTCGAGCTGACCGAAGACAGCCCGTGCAGGTGGGCTGGGGTCTGGGTCGCGAGGAAGGTCCTCAGGCTTACTTTCAAGCGCAAGTGCCGGGCAGCATTGGGCCTCCACCTCAGAGAAATCGCGGACGGGGGTAGACTGGTGGCCCATGGACGAAAACGGCAGGCCCACCCCACTCGCGCCCGCAAGGGCTGGGCAGCGCTGTCGGAAGGAGGCGTGGCCGGCGGAGATCGCGCGGGCTCGGGCGGGCAGGCGCCGCCGACCGCGGCTCCGGGCGGTCCGTGGCCGGGTGCCGCCCCAGCTCTGGGAGGACATGCGCCTCGGTCGTCTGCGGAAGGGGCAGGGCTCAGCATCGGCAGCAGAGTGATTGCGGTCGCGGGTGTCGACGGGGCTCCGCGCGACCCGTGAGGGCGGGGGCCCCGCCGACGCGCGAGAAGGGCGAGCCGCCGCGGGGCCCGAGGATGCCCGGGCAAAGGGGAGCTACTCCACCCGCGCCTGTTGCCGACCGGGGCAGTTTCGGCCCAAGACCAGGGGGGGTGCCCGCGGCGCCCGAGGTGCGGAGGGGCGCAGCTTCTGGCCGACGGAAGCGAGCACAGGGCGACTCTTCCGCCTGAGGGCGAGGAGGTCGGGGGCGCAGCCGTGGCAGCAGACAGAATCCTCAGTGTACTTTGCGCTCGCGCCGTCCTCGACTCCCCCGAGCAGCCGCCAAGCCCGCCGCGGCGCCCTTGGGCGTGGGGCCACCGATGGCGCCGTTGTCGCAGGAGGAGCGGCAGCCGTGGCGATGCGGACTGCTGGAGGGCGCACCCACGAGGAGGACATTCCAGTGCCGCGCGACATAGGGCACCCGCAGGCGAGCGCCAGTCACGCCAGGGAGGGGCCTGATGGAAGAGGCGCAACGTATTCAGGAGCGTGAGCTGCGACTGGTCAGGGACTTCGAGGACCGGGTCGGCGAATCTTTCGCGAAGCGTCAAACCATCTGCAAACAAAGGCCAAACGCAGCCGCCGGCAGGGAGGTCGCCACGGCCGCGAACTGCTACGCGGGGCTGTTCTGGCGGCCGGTCGCGCCAGAGAAGTGCGGGCAGCTGCGGGGGGTAGCGTTGCAGGCTGGAACAGCCGAGGCAGCGACTTGGCGGGGCAATGTTCAGCGGGGCGAGGCCGCCGGGGCAGGGGGCGAACCCCGCGGGCGAAGGCGGCCCGACCTCCGAGGAAGAGGGCGCGCCCACGACGCCGTCAACACTTCGGGCCGCAGCTCAGCCCAGCAGGCGGCAGCAGGCGGACCCCCCCGCCTCGGGCGGCACCTGTCGGCCGAGTTCCGCTTGCAAGGAGGAGGAAACTCGGGGGCCTCTTGGAGCGGAGGGCTGGAAATGTGCGTTCGGGTCTTCCGTCTGGGCTCCCTGTTGGAGCCAACTCGACGGCCTCGTGGGCCGTCTTGGAGGCCTCCTGGGACATCTTGGGGCCCTGCCAGGCCGTCTGAGGGCCCTCTTGAAGGCCTCTGGGGCCGTGTTGGGGCGATCTTGGGTCTCTCTGAAGCCGTCTTGCAGCGCTGGGAAGCCAAACAGGCGAGCATGCTAAACTCTTTCAGACCCCCCTGCAAAATCGACGAATTCCGCCTCTTGAGGCCCTCTTGCGAGTGCTCTTGGGGCCTTTTGGGGCGTCCCCTCATGCCTGGGAGTGTCACGGTCCTCGGGACCACCCCACCCTTCCCCGGCAGAGCCAGCTCAACCCCCCTTGCCAGCAGAGCTGAGCTGAAGCTGCCGGGGGGAGGGGGATGGGAATTTAGTACACGTCCCTCTTCCCCTTCTCTTCTTCCCTGGCAAAGTCCCCCCCCCGTAGGGCTGAGCTGAGGCTCGTTTTTTTTTTAAACTCACGCGCCGGATCGTTGGAATTAACCTTGTCTTCTGGTCTGAGGTATGTTGCTTTTTACCTCGTTCTCCACCGTTTCCGTAACAACTTCCCTCGTCCGACAGGTTTCGTTGTCCTTCGTCTCTTTCTTCTCCCTCTGTCCTCCTCCTCCTCCACATCCTCCCTTCTCCGCCTCATTATCATTCTTCTCTTGTCATTCTCCTCGAGCTCCTCCTCCTCCTCTTTCTCCTCCTCTTCCTCCTCGTCCTCCTCCCACGCATTGGGGCTCCACACACATGGCTCCGCGCGCAGTGCCACACCTATCACCCAATCCTGAGCCACGCGCAGCATCACTGCAGCAGAAGCTCGGTCTGCCAACGAGGAAGACGTCTCCCAGCAGGTGGATTATGATGATGATGATGATCAAGAGGAGGATGAGGATGATAATGAGGATGAGGATCAACATGATGATGGTAATGATGATGATGGTGATGATAGTGATGATGATGCTGCTGATGATGGTGATGACGCTTATGATGATGATGTTGGTGCTGCTGATGGTGATGATGCTGATGACGGTGATGCTGATGCTCCTGATGATGATGCTGCTGATGCTGATGCTTATACTGATGCTGCTGGCGATGATGACGATTACGATACCGATGACGGTGACGATGATCACGATGATGATAATGATGATGACGCCGATGCTGGTGATGATTATGACGATAATGATGTTAATGATGATGATGGTGGTGGTGATGATGATAAGGACGGTGATGACGCTGATGCTGATGATGAGGATGATGATTATGGATTTGATGCTGATGCTAATGCTCATGATGATGATGACGATGATGATGTTGATGATGCGGCTGATGACGATGATAATGCACATGATATTGATAATGATGATGATCATGATACTGATGATGCTGCTCATGATGATAATGGATGACGATGATGCTGATGATGATGATGATGATGATGATGATGATGGTGGTGATGGTGGTGGTGGTGGTGATGCGGATGGGTGATTATGATGATGCTGATGCTGATACTAATGATGCTCAGGAATATTATAATGATGCTGATGCTGCTGATGATGATGATGATGATGATGATGATGATGATGTTGTTGCTGCTGATGGCGATGATGCTGATGATGATGATGTTGATGATGCTTCTGATGATGAATTATGCTAATGGTAACGATGATGCTGATGCTGCTGCTGAGGATGATGATGCTGACGATCATGATGATGCTGATGATGATGTTGATGATGATGATGATGATGATGATGCCGCTGTTGCTGATGCTGCTGATGATGATGATGATGATGATGGTGACGATCAGGATGATGATACTGATGAGGATTCTGATGATGCTGATGGTGGTGATGAAGCTGATGATGATGATGATGATGATGATGATGATAATGATGCTGACGATGATGATGATGATGATGATGATGATGATGATGATGATGATGATGATGATGATGATGATGATGATGATGACTGATGATGATGATGATGATGATGATGATGATGATGATGATGATGATGATGATGATGATGGCGACGACGATGATGATGGTGGTGATGATGATAATGATGTTGCTGCTGCTGCTGATGATGATGATAATGACGCTGATGATGATGATGATGATGATGATGATGATGATGATGGCGATGATGATGAGGATGATGATGATGATGATGATGATGATGATGATGATGATGATGATGATGATGATGATGATGTTGTTGATGATGATGATGATGATGATGATGATGATGATGATGATGATGATGATGATGATGATGATGATGATGATGATGATGATGATGATGATATGATGATGGTGATGATGCTGCTGATCATGATGATGACGATGATGGCGATGATGATGATTATGATGCTGATCTTGATGATGATCATAATGGTGGTGGTGGTGGTGGTGCTGGTGGTGGTAGTGATGATGATGATGATGCTGATGATGATGATGATGATGATGATGATGATGATGATGATGATGATGATGATGATGATGTTGATGATGCTTCTCCAAGTAGGCTTGCCCTATAGGAATCCTAGCTCATCATAACTAATTGGTCTTTAAGGCCGCTCCCTTTTTCCAATGGCCGCCCCCCCTTTTTCCCTTGCCTCCCCCTTTTTTCCAATGGCACTTGCTTGCTTGCTCTTGCGTGCTTGCTCTCGCTTGCTTGCTCTTGCTTGCTCTTGCTTGTTTGCACTTGATCGCTGGCTCCTGCTTGCTCGTTATTACTCGCTTGTGCTTGCTTGCTTCCGCTTGCTTGCCTGCGCCTGCTTGATTTTGCTCCTCCCGTTCTCCTCCCGCCCTGCTCCCGTCCTCCTTTCGTCCTCCTCCCATCCTCCTCTCGTCCTCCTCCTGTCCTCCTATCTATTTAGAGTCAACGCTGGCTGAAATGATGATGACGCTGATGATGATGATGCTGCTGCTGCTGATTCTGATGGTGATGCAGAGGAGGAGGAGGAGGAGGAGGAGGAGGAGGAGGAGGAGGAGGAAGAGGACGAAAAAGAAAAAGAAGAGGAGGTGGAGGAGGAGGAGGAAGAGAAACATCAGGAGGAAAAGTAATATGAGGGGGAGGAGGAAGAGGAGGAGGAGAAGAAAGAGGAAGAGGAGGAGGAAGAGGAGAAGGAGGAGGATGAGGAGGAGGAGCAGGAGTAGGAGGAGGAGGAGGATGAGGAAGAGGAGGAGGATCACGACGAGGAGGAGGAGGAACATGAACAGGAACAGGAACAGGAGGAGGAGAAGGAGGAGCAGGAGGAGGATGAGGACGAGGACGAGCAGGAGGAGGAGGAGGCGGATGACGATGAGGAAGAGGATGACGAGGAGGATGTCGGGGAGGAGGAAAAGGAGGATCACGAGGAGGACGAGAATGACGACGGCGAGGGCGACGACGAGGACGACGACGAGGGCCCCACTGAAAGGCCCAGCGGCGCCGCGCCAGGGCCGTCGCCCGGCAGGCTGCCCGGCGGAGGGGGGCCGAGGACCCCCAAGGGTGGCATTCCCCAAGGGCGGCCGCAGTCGTCGTCGGCGTCCTGGTCCCTCCCTCCCTCAGTCACTTTCTTTCTCCATCCTCCTCCCTCCCTTCCTCCCTCCCTCCCTCAATGAAGTTTTGTACAAGCCCTCGATTGCCTTGAACTGCGTACTGTAATCCGGTGTTTCAGACTATTGAGGATCTGTGTGATCCTTCGCCCTAGGCTCAAGGCTGAGAAGCCAACTTTGGTAGCGACTGGTGTGCTGCGGGGGGGCACCGCGCCAAGTGTCCAGGCCGGCTCCCACTGCCGTCTCGTCTGGAGTGCAATGCAGCGATTGCGACATCCTTGAGCATCGTGATGGCGCCCGGGTGTTCGATGTGAGGGCGGGTTGCAAAGTGGCCGTGGAAAGTTTCGTCCGAGTCTGTTTTCACGGGCGTAGTCGCTTTCTCCTACCGATAGGTCAGTTTGGACAGCTGAACCTTGAAGAAGACAAGCTGAAGAGAACGGTCAAGAAAAATTGCAACATAATTTTCATATCCGCAGAGGATGATGGGCCACATATTCAGCTTCCGGCCTTGATGACGGGAAGCAGTGCCACCCCAGATTGCAAGACAGCGTTGGCAGTTTCTCTGAAGATTTCTTGGATGCCGCCTTGCGACTGGCCCAGTTGTAGTAAGTTGCACAAACATCGCAACTTTGACTTCTTCACGGCTTGGAGCCCGACGCGCGGGCAACGCCGTGCAGATCGCGGACACTGTTGGCCACGTCAGCTTCAAGGCGTTCATCGCCGACGTTCGAGCGAATGCCGAGCGATGCCCGAGAACTTCTGCACCTTCGCCGACTGTGATCATCGCGCCCGAGAACATACGGCAGTGGACCGAGCACATGGTTCCGTAGCAGCGCCCCCAGGGCCACAGCAGCCCACCCTTGGATCTCCAGGAGGGCATAAGCGGCTCGGGCAGGCTGTCAGCAGCGGCAGCAGCAGCAGTGGGTTTCCCAGCCGCATTTCCAGTGGACTATAGATACGGCTGGGATATCAAGACCCAGCAGCACCAACAGCTGTTCGATTCTTGTCTTGCTCGGTCTTCTGGTCCACTTTTGGTCGCCGAAGTGTTCGCCATGTTCTGCCGTTCAAATCGAACGCCGCTGGAGGAACGAGAACGGGTGAGGTCAGCAGCGACGCCGACGATCGGACTGGTTGCTACATCGTGCGGATTCTAATTATGTCCGTGGAGAAGCGTCGGTCATTGGGAATCCACGCGTGCTGGCAATCTATTCCAAGGGCCCGTTGAACAAGTTGCACCCCGAAAGGACATGGCAGCGCAGACCTGTGTCAATTCGGTGCGGTCGACGAGACTGGTTTGCCGATTCAGAAATCAACGGCGCTCCCCTCCGACTCTTTCAGCACGTGGGTCCAAGGGGTGGAGTGTCCAGGAGGGGGATGGGGAGATCGAGGATGGATCGAGGGAAGCTGAGGCAATACATGAAGAGGATGAGGATGATGATGAGGATGATGACGATGATGATGAGGGGGAGAAGGAGGAGGAGGAGGAGGAGGAGGAAGAGGAGGAGGAGGAAAAGGATTGAAGGTCGACGGGATGTGAGTATGACAGGGGGAGCAGGAGGATCAAATATTGAGGATCTGGAGGACGAGGAGGAGGAGGAGTACATGTGTAAACTTAAGGCGCATCTTCGATAGTGCATTAAGTCCTCCCTCACAGTTCCCACTGTGTTCGTACACGGAAATGTTTCCATTGGGTGAAGTGGCCCAATAGAAAGCAACCGTGTGAGAACCCTCAACCATGCCAAAGCACCACTCGAGGGACGTCAACGCCAAGTATCCACGTGGCACTTGCGTCCTGGTAATCCTAAAGCTTGCCAGAACGCTGTGCCTGGATTCGACACCGCGAAACGACATGAATGATGCGTCTTGCCGCTTGCGGCGCCAGCTTCGGCGAGGGCCCGCCTGCAGCCCTCGAGCCCCCTGATCCAGGCCGTCTGCTTCGGCCTGCCCTAGGTGCTCCTCTTGCTCTTCCTGCTGCAAGCCCGACGCCTCCGCCGTCGGGGTCGACCACGCCCTCGGAGATTGAGACGTGGAGGCCGCGGGCCCGCATGACCTGATGGCTGCCCGCCAGTGCGCATTGGATATCGAGCCGCTCCAGGTGGCGGTCAACTACGACGACGACCCGAACTTCCGGTGGCACCACCGCGTCCTCTTGGCCAAGCTGACGGAGGGCGCAAAGTGGGCAGGGGCGACTCCGACGCACGCTGTCCAGGTCATCGTCTCGCAGTGCACCAGGTCGTCTCGTTCGTGCGAGGCTGCCCGGTGCCAGACCGGGCTCGGAACAATGTGTACCTCCTCGACCCGATGACCGAGGAGGAGCTCGGAGACCTCCAGCGCCAGGCCAACGCGCTGGCGAGCCTCCTCGGCGGTGTGGCCCCTGCCCCAGGGGCGGCCCAGACGCAGTGGGTGGTCGCGGACCTGGGCTCGGACTCGTTCGGGGAGGCCGTCGCGGTGCCGATCATTCTCAACCTGGCGAGGTTCGTGCAGAGAGGGTCGGCGGGGCTCGCGCTGATCGACGACGACAGGTGGACCGCCGTGGAGCGTGTCCAGATGGCGGACCTGAGCGCATGGCTGGACGATATGCGCTCTGGGGCCGGGCGCGACCCCAGAGTGCTGGCCATCGAACGAGACGCCCGCGGCCGCCGCTTTTCCCCTTTCCGCGACGCCCTCGCCGAGATGAAGGAACGCCGGCCTGCTGCTGCTGGTGCCGCTGGCTCTGCGGGCGCGGTGGCCGCGGGCGACGACTGGCCCTTCCGTGGCCCTTCGGCGGCGGTGGAGCTGCTGACGAACATCAGGGCGAGCGGAGAGGACATCTCAGCGTGCCACGAGCACTGGGTCCGCGGGTCCGGGATCGCGCGGGAGAGCGCGGTGGCGTTCCACCACGCGTCGCTGGTCTCGATCCTACATCACCTGGTGTGCTTCGACCAGATCGATGCGTACCAGCTCGCTGGGACCGAGGCCCTCGCCCAGCGCGTGCTGTATTTGGAGCGCGGCGTCCACCGCAACCCCAAGTCGCCCGACTTTCGGGGCTTGGGGGTCATGCTGGCGAGCCGATTGGACGCAGGCGCACCAGTCACGACGGGGGAGTTCGCGAAGTTCATCGCGGAGGAGCAGAAGTCATAGGCGTTCGCCCTGAAGCAGCAGAGGCTCCTCGCCGAGGAGACCGGCAAGAGGGGCCAGCCCGGAGGAGGGAAGTAGCAGGAGGCGAGCCCTTCGCCTCCGCCCTGGCGCCGCCTGCGCGCGCGGGCCCCTGCCGGGCTCTCGCCCTCCGGGGTGTTTGTTTCCCCTGGCTCTTCCGCCTGGCGCCTCGGGGCGACGGTCGGCCGCCGCTGCTGACGGGCTCGACGCGCTGGACTGGCATGGGCGTGAGTTGGCCATCGGTGCTGCAGCCTCGCTCAACGCTCTGGCGGGCGCCCGGGCCAAGGGTCTTCCGCCGCCGCGGAGGCCTGACCACCGCCCGCCAGGGGGCCAGCTCCCACTGTGCCAGCAGGCCGTTTGGCGGCGCCCGGGGACCGCGGCGGCCGCCGCAGGGGCCAGGCCAAACGAGTATGATCTGTGCCCAGACGGGGCGCCCAAGGATATTCTCAAGACGAGGGGCATGTACGACCTGGACGTCTCGCTCAGCGTCGCGCCCCACGACAGCGAGAAGCTCACCGTCACGCGGGGCGTGCTCGCGCCGCAGGACACCGCGGGCCTCGTCGACGAGGAGGCCTGGGAGTACCTTCTCCACTCCGAGCGCGTCGCTTTCCCCTCCGACGAGATCCCAGAGGAGCCGATTCCAACCGCGCTGGGACCAGCGGCTCCTCCGCAGCCGTGGCCAGCTCGATGATTTGCTCGGGGAGCTGAAAGGGGTTGGGCTCATCACGTGCCGGAGGAAGGTGCGCTCGCGGGTGGACATCTTCTTCGTGTAGAAGAAGACGGGGATTCTGCGCATGTTGCTGGACTGCCGGCCAGCCAATGTCCTGCGCAAGCGGGCGCCCCACTCGCGCCGCCACCAACGGGGCGGTGGCGTCCTCGGTGCTCGACCCTGCCTACGTGGGTGAGTCGCCCGTGGGGGGCTCCTCGCTGTGGGGCGCCTCGGTCGACCTTCAGGACGGCTTCTACCAGTTCCTGGCTCCGACGGTGTCGCGCTGCCTCGGCCTGGGGCGCGTCGAGCTCGCCAGTGATATCGGCGTCGACTCGGTCTACGACCCGGAGGTCGGGGGCCAGGTCCCCGTCTCGCCAGACACGCTCCTGGAGGCTTGCTTCGGCGGGCTGCCGATGGGCTGGAGCTGGGCGCTCTACTTTTGCCACGACGCGCTGTCGCTGGCCTGCCGCTGCGCCCAGGCGGCGCTTGGGCTGCCAACGGTGCTGGTGGGCGACCGTCAGCCCCCGCCCTCTCTCGGGGCCGGCGTCGCCGTCTGCGCGCCACGCGTGGACAACGCCAACGTCCTCGGCTCGGACAGGGGGACGGTGGCCGCGCTGCACCAGAGGGTGGTGGACGAGCTGGTGCGCACTGGCTTCGTGGTCCACGAGCGGGTCGACCCGACGCAGGACTTTGAGGCCATCGGACTGATGTTCGACCTGGCCCGACGCTGGGTGCGCCACAAGCCCGCGCGGTCCTGGCGCCTCTGGTTTGCCCTCGGCGAGGTCGCCCGCCGGAGGTCGCTCGGCCGGGGCCGTGTGCGGCAGCTCCCTGGCCATCTCGTGCGCCACTTCAGCCAGCGGCGCTGCGCCCTTTCTTGTTTCGGGGAGGCGTGTCGTTTCGTGGGTTCTGGTGGGGGCGAGGTGGTCGGACTGCCGTCCGTGGTGCTGGGCGAGCTGGCTGTTGCCCGCGGGCTCGTGCACTTCGCGGACGTGGGCGTCGCGGCGCCGACGCTTCCCCGCTGGTTCTGCAGTGGCGCGTCGACTGAGGGATGCTCCCTGCACTTCGCGGAGGTGTCGCCGGCTGAGCTCTGGCCGGTCGCCGTCTGGCGCGAGCGCTGGCGCTTCGTCGAGCCGTCTGACTCTTCGGCTCGGGCCGACCTGGAGGCGCTGCGCGGGTGCGCGGTGGCCCCGCCCCCCGCCGCTGGCTCGTTCTCGGAGTGGGTCGACGTGGAGCTGGACACAGCGCTTCAGCACGAATTGGATGAGCGACCTGGCGACGTACGAGCTGGCGACCAGGGCCCTCCCAAGAAGCCCCGATTGCAGCGTGAGGTCACTGGGCTCGCCCCGAAGGTGCCCGACTCGTTCGTGGAGCCGAAGCGCTGGAGGCGCGCTGGAGGCGGCAGGCCGCCATCCACTGCAAGCAGGCGCGCGCCGCGCTCCTGGGCCTCCACCGCGAGCTCGAGCAGCCCAGCTCGCACGGGCACCACATCCTCAGCTTCGGGGGCAAACTCGCAGAGGTCCCGGCGTTCGACCGAGGGCGCGCCCGAGATGCGGAGCTGCTGGGGCTGGCGCGCCGGGCCGCGGCCGCGCAGCTCGCCAGGGGGCTCTACTGGCGTCGGCGCTGCGTCGAGACGGAGCGCAACCCCTCGGATGAGGACTCGAGGCTGGCCCACCAAGGGTGGCTGCGCCCTGGCCAGAGGGTGTCGGGTGCAGCCCTCTGCGGGCTGCCGCTTGCTGCCGCGGTGGGTCCAGGCTGGGGGGCCGCCGACCAGCGACGGCCCGCCGCTGGCGCGGGATCGGCCTGGGGCCCCGAGCAGTGAGCTCGAGCTGGTGCCGCCGACGCCCATCGAGTGCGACTCTCCTGGGACTCCGGTGCAGCCTGCCTGGGGCCCCGCTGCCCGGGCAAGTGGCCCTGTCGCCCGCAGCCGGCGCCCCGCCCCGCGCCGAGCAGCCGCGGCGCGGGCCCGCCCAGGCCCCGCGCGGGAGGGAGATGGACGTCGACGGGTCCCCGACGTCTCTCGGGCCCGTCCCGCCTTCCTCTGGAGTTGTTCGGGGGCTGTTCGGGGGCTGCGCGCGCGCCGGGGCAGCCGTGGCCGAGCTGGGCCTTCGCGTCGGGTTCCCTGTCGACACTCGTCATGGACGGCATCATGATGTTCTTAATGGGAAAGTTGCTATTGAAATTGTGCGGTGGATACGGGCGGGGGCCAGATGGGCTGTCATGCTTGGCGCGCCGTGCGTTGGGTGGACTCTAGCCCGGACGACTGGGTCGGCCCCTCCGCCCTCCTCGAGGTGCGTCGATTTCACCGTGCGCATCTTCGAGCTCTGCTACCGCATGGGCGTCCACGTGGTCCTCGAATCCCACCCGGTCGAGGCTCTTCCAGCGCCGAGGGATCGCTTGTGCCCTGCGGCGTCTCGGCACTGCGCACCTCGTCTTCGGCGCGCCTTGGGAGAAGCCGACGGCCATCGCCACCGCGCTGCCCAACGCTGAACGGCTCGCCCGGCGCTGCCCGTGCCCGGGCGCGCCCCACGTCGTGCTCCAGGGGAAGGTGCGGCTGCCGGGCCAACGCTCAGAGTGGCGCGCCGCCTACGCTGCAGCGTATCCTCCTCTGAGCTTTGTCGGGCTCTGGTAGGTCTGCTCGGCGAGTGCGCGCCGCCGCGGGCCTGGCGCCGCGCGCGTGAGGACCCTCTCGACACCTGCTGGGAGCGACGTCTTGCGTCCGCGGCGGGGTTTGAGCGCCGCTCAGACTGGCGATGCGTGGAGCTCCCGGCAGTCGGCTCGCGGTGTCGGCTCGGCTGGGAGGAAGCGATCGAGCACTGGGGCGGGGACCGCTGGGCCGTCGAGCTTGAGGCCTTTGCCGCCCGTCGCCGAGCCCGGCGAGCTGCGGCGAGAGCGGCGGCGCCAGGCCGCCGCGCGGGAGCGCCATCGTGGGAGCGAGCCCAGCGTGTGCCGGCGAGTGTCGGTCCGCCCAGCCACGGCGTCGGCTTACCGCCGGGCTTTTTCTGACGTCAGGGCCTGGGCGGTGCTCCACGGGATGCTTCCTCCCTCTGCCGAGGGGTCTACCTCGACATGGGACGACCTACTGCGTCGGGCTTCTTGCTTGCTCGCCGACCACCTTCCCGCTGGCGCGGGCTGCGCTCCACGGGTTCGGCCGCGCGAACCCCGACAAGGTGAGGGGCTCGCTGCCGCTGGAGGTCGTCTGGCTGTGCGCCGACGTCTGGTTCCACCACTGTGGGGGCGTGGGCGCGGTCGCGGCGGCTACCACTTGGATCGCCGTCGACTGCTACTTGCGCCCGACGGAGGCCCTGCAGCTCGCCGCCGACCGCGTCTCGCTGCCCCGCCGAGCGGGAGATCCTGTAGTCGTGGCGGTTGCCCCTGCCTCCCAAGATGTGCCTGCGAAGAATTTTCAGTATGGTGCCTCGACGGTAGTGCGTGCTCACGACAGGGGGTGGATTTCTCAACTCGTCCTCGGCCTCGCCCGCTCCACCCCTTCTGGTCCCCTCCTCGCTCTATCCCTCGGAGAATGGGAAAACCGGTGCCGCCAGTTTCGTCGAGCTCACTTTGCCGATGAGCTGCCTCTCACGCCTCAAGCATGTCGGCACGCTGGCCCATCGCATGACGCCAGGGTATTTTAAGACCAAGCTGACAAGCTCCTGGTTCGAGGACGTTGGTAAAACCGATCTTCCGTGCTACGGTATGCGAAGCCTGCAGGGATGCTTCGAAACCCCGCCTCGCTCTCTCGCCAGCAGTTGCAGCAACCCGATGAGATGTCGCAGCGGCTCCCGCAGCAGATCCTGGAATATTTTGCCCCGCCCACGCCTCGCTCCGCTCGGCTCCCTTCCCTCGGCTAGCCGCACCAAGCGGAAGTATGGCAGTGTGGGCGCGGGCAGGTAGGGCTCGACTCACGGCCTCCTTGCCTTTTCTTCGGGGGCCGAAGACCCCCTCCAGGAATCTGCGCTGCCGTGGAGAAAACAAGTCCTTTTACAGTTTTGTTCATTCCTTGGGCTTGCGCCCATCGCCGCCCCCAGGTCTCCTCGGGGTATCAGCCGCTCCGCGGGGTTAAGGCGGTTTGGGGCCGGCGCGATTTTTATGACCGGATTGATGATGGTGGTGGTGGCGGTGATAATGACGAAGCTGCTGCTGATGATGACGATGATGATCACGAATATCATGAGTATGATTGCGATAGCGATGATGCAGCTGCGGATGACGATGACGATAACAAGGATGTTGAAGATGACGATGATGATGCTCAAGACGACGATGACGATGATGATGTTGATGATGATGGTGAGGACGATGAGGATGAGGACGATGATGCTGATGATGCTGATGATGCTGATGCTGCTGCTGATGATTACGACGACGATTCCCATTATGATGGTGATGATGGTGGTGGGGGTGACGATGATGCTGCTGATGATGAAGATGCGGGTCACGAGGACGATGACGATGACAATGACGATGACGATGATCATTACGATGATGATGCTGATGGTGATGAGGATTAAGCTGCTGATGGTGATGTTGATGATGATGCTGTTTCTGATGATAATTATGACGATTATGAGGATGATGATGATGCTGATCATGATGGTGATGCTGATGATGATAATGACGATGATGATGATGATGATGATGATGATGATGATGATGCTGATGGTCATGATGATGTTCGTAAGTGTGCTGGTCATGATGATGACGACGATGATGATGATGATGATGATGATGATGATGATGATGATGATGATGGGTATGTGTATGATGATGATGATTGTGCTGATGATGATGACGATGGTTATGACGATTATGATGACGATGATGACGATGGTGGTGATGATGGTGATGATGATGCTGATGCTGATGCTGCTGATGATGATGAGGATGATGATGGTGGTGGTGGTGGTATTGGTGGTGGTGGTGATGATGGTGATGATGACGATGATGATGATGCTGATGATGATGGTGGTGATGATGATGATGATTTGGATGCTGATGCTGATGCTGCTGCTGATGCTGATTGTGGTGCTGGTTGTGAATATGTTGATGCTGATGTTTACAACGATGATGATGGTGATGAGGATAATGATGGTGATGGTGCTGATGATGATGATGATGATGATGATGATGATGATGATGATGCTGATGATGATGATGATGATGTTGATGATGATGGTGCTGATGATGACGATGATGATGACGATGATGATGATGATGATGATGATGATGATGATGATGATGATGATGATGATGCTGCTGCTTGCTGATGCTGATGCTGATGCTGATGCTGCTGCTGCTGCTGCTGCTGATGATGATGATGATGATGATGATGATGATGATGATGATCATGATGATGATGATGATGATGATGATGATGATGATGATGATGATGATGATGATGATGATGATGATGATGATGATGATGATGATGATGATGATGATGATGATGATGATGATGATGATGATGATGATGATGATGATGATGATGATGATGATGATGATGATGATGATGATGAGGGTTCGTTTGGAGGAGAGGGCTGGAGGGAGAAACGCGGAGTAGGAGGAGGAGGAGGAGGAGGAGGAGGAGGAGGAGGAGAAACGGGGGGAAGAGCGAATCCTCGTCCTCCTAGTTCCCCTCCTCCTCCCCTCATCATCCTTCTCCAGTTCCTCCTCCTCTGCCACGGGCCTCCCTTCCCGATGCGGCTGCAAGTCCATTGCATTCTCCCAGGCCGCGCAGTGCTCCTCCTCGTGTCCTCCCCCGCTCCAAGCTCTTCGCGTCCTCCCTCGCCCTTCCTGCTGCTGCTACTGCTGCTGCTTCTGCTCCTCCTCCTTCTCGAGGGGTGCTGGGCAGGTCTGGTCCTGCATATGCTCTCCGCTGATTGATCTCCTGGACACTGCTTCCCCTGTGGGAACAACACTCCTCCTCGCCCTCCTCCTCCCCCCCCCTCCTCCTCCTCCTCCTCCTCCTCCTCCTCCTCCTCCTCCTCCTCCTCCTTTCCTCCTCTTCTTCTTCCTCCCCCCTCTCCTCGATGCTTGATTAAACCTACTTTGTTCCCCCCTTCACCGAGGATCATCGAGGAGGAGCCCCCCCTGACTTTCTGCGGCGGGCTGGCCGCGAGCCTCTCCCAGGAGCACGGCACGCCGTTGTCGTCGTCGTCGTCGTCGTCGTCGTCGTCGTCGTCGTCGTCGTCGTCGTCGGCGGCGGCGTCGTCGTCTTCGTGGTCGTCGTCGTCGTCGTCGTCGTCGTCGTCGTCGTAGTCGTCGTCGTTGTCGTCGCCTCCGTGGAAGTCGTCGTCGTCGTCGTCGTCGGTGCCGGCGTTGCATTTTTTCGCGACGGGCGTTGCATTTTATCGCAACGGCCCTGGACCCTCACGGATCGATCCCGGCCGAACAACTCCGAGGAAAGATGGGGTTTGGGGCTTTGGTGCAGTTTTTCTTCGATGTTGCAATGTCACCGTGACGTCGGATCTCAGGGTCGTGCGTCGTCGTCGTCGTCGTCGTCGTCGTTCGTCGTCGTCGTCGTCGTCGTCGTCGTCGTCGTCGTCGTCGTCGTGGTCGTCGACACCCGACGGTATGTTTTTTCAACAGGTGTATTTTCCTCGATTTCGGCCACTGGGTTTTTTTTCCGGTCGGCGGGGCTATCAAGCATGTATCTGGGACAGATACCCCAGGGGAATGGGTCGAGATTTGGGGCTGTGGAATGGACGACTCGTATCGGCGGATGTGTCGTGGTCGTCGTGCTCGTCGTCGTCGTCGTCGCCGCCGCCATCGTCGTCGTCGTCGTCGCCGCCGCCATCGTCGTCGTCGTCGTCGTCGTCGTCGTCGTCGCGCTCTCGCTCCTACCTCCCGCGGAGGAGTGTGGGCAGGATGGGATGACGAGCCCCTGCTATCCTGCCTCCGCCTCCTCCTTCTTCCCCTCCTTCTCCTCCTCCCTTCTCTTGTCTGCTCCTTTTTTTTTGGACTTCCTCTTCCCCCTGTCCTCTTGGTCGTGCTCATTTCGTGTATGCCTGCTCCTGCTGCTGCTCCTCCTCCTTCTACTCCTCCTCCTCCTGCTCCTCCTCATCCTGCTCACGAGGGCTCCCTCCATCCCCCTCGATCCTCCTCTCCTCCTCGCCCCCTCGTCCTTACCTTTCCCCATCCCACGGCGGGCATGCTTGCCTCCCCGTCTGGGATGCCGCCCAGCGGGGCCCGGTCCTTGCTGGGCAATCAAAGGGCATGCGGTGGGGAGGGAATGATGGCCAGCGAGAAGGGTCACTCAGAGTTGGAGCCTCGTCTGGTGCTCCACACTGGGCATCCTGGCCATCTATCATATTCCGCTTTAGTACGTGAGGCTCGCAGCCCCGCACACACAGCACCGTTCCCACATATCTTGGTGATGTATGTCCACCGTTGCCTTGATTAAGAGCCGTGGACATCCTTCTCCTTCCCCTCATCCTACTGAGGATGCGAAACAACTTCCTTCCCCTCCTCCTTCTCCTCCCTCCTCCCTCCTTCTCCCTTCTTCTTCCCCTCGCCCCCTTCCCCCTCTCCTTTCTCCTCCTCCTCCTTCCCCTCCTCCTCCTCGTCCTCCTCCTCCTCCTCCTCCTCCTCCTCCTCCTCCTCCTCCTCCCCCTCCAACCTCCCCCCGCCCTCCCCCTTTTCCTTCTCCTCCTCCTCCTCCTCACCCATCCCCCTCCTCTTCCTCCTCCTGCTCCTACTCCACCTCCTCCACCTCCTCCTCCTCCACCCTCCTTCCCCTTCGCCTGCGCCAGGGCCGAGACAGGGCCGACACCAGGCCGTTCGAGGTGAACTCGAAGGAGGGTGTTCCCGTGCAGGATCCCAGTGGGGGCCGCGTGCGGGGAATGGGGTGGAGAAAGATGATGAGGATGAGGATGAGGATGAGGGTTAAGGTGTGGATGAGGACGATGATGATGATGATGATGATGATGATGATGATGATGATGATGCTGATGATGATGATGAGGATGATGATGATGGATAATTACGACGATGATGATGCTGATGCTGATGCTGATGCTAATGCTGATGATGATGATGATGATGATGATGATGATGATGATGAGGATGATGATGATGATGGTGATGATGATGATGATGATGATGATGATGATGATGATGATGATGATGATGATACTGATGATGCGGATGATGCTAATGCTGATGCTTATGATTGTGCTGATGCTGCTGCTGATGCTGCTGCTGCTGACGATGATTACCCGGAATATGATGGTTACGGTGATGCTGGTTATGAAGATGCTGATGCGGATGTTTATAATGATGATGATGATGATTAGGATGATGTTGCTGATGATGCTGATGAGTCTAACGATGCTGATTTTGATGCTGCTTCTGCTGTTGTTGATGCTGATGCGCATGATGCTTATGATGATGCTGATGCTGGTAATGTAATTGTTGCTGACGCTGATGATGCTGATGATTAGATGATGCTGATGCTGATGCTGATGACGCTGACGATGATGACGATGACGATGATGCTGCTGCTGATGATGATTATGATGATGGTCGTGATGATGATGATGCTGATGCTGATACTGATGCTACGGCTGTTGATGCTGTTGCCGAATGCGACATTGATACTGATGCTGATGCTGATGCTGCTGCTGCTGCTGACGATGTTGATGACGCTGACGCTGATGGTTATGATGATGGCGATGCTGATGCTGATGCTGCTGATGCTGCTGATGTTTATGATGTTGTTCTTGATGATGATGCTGATTATGATGATGCTGATGATGCTTGTGATGCTGGCGATGATTACGATTCCGATGCCGATGCTGATGACGAGGATGATAATGATGATTATGATCATTATCATTACGACGATGACGATGCTGATGATGCTGATGACCATGATGATTGTGATGCGGATGATGATGCTGTTGCTGATGACGATGATGACGATGACGATGATGCTGATGTGATGATGTTGATGATGACGATGCTGATGCTGATCACGATGATGATGACGGCGATGCTGATGAGGCTGATGCTGATGCTGATGATGATGATTAGCATTTTCATGGATATTATCGCATGGTTATTGTTGTTTTGTTATTGCGATGACGATAATGGTGATTTGGCTGATCATGATAATGCTGATGATTCTGATGCTGGTTCGGATGACGATGCTGATGATTAGGAATAGTTTGATGCTGTTGCTGCTGATAGTGCTGATGTTGTTGATGATGCGGGTAATGGTGACGATGCTGCTCCTGTTACTGCTGATGAGGGTGATGATGGTGCCAATGCTGCTGCTGACGATGATGATGATGAGGATGAGGATGAGGCTAATGATGATGCTGAGGCAGATGCTGCTTCTGATGATGCTGATGATGATACTGGTGATTGGTGAATGCTGATCAGTGAGGATGATGCTGATGCTGCTGATGATGCTGATGATGATGAAGCTGATGATGTGGCCGCTGATGATTCTCAGGATGGAGATGATGATGATGCTGATGATGATGCTGACAATGATGCTGATGACGATGATGCTGATGCTGATGATGGCCATGAGGATGCTGATGCTGATGATGTTGGGGATGCTGACGCTGATGATGATGCTGATGATGCGGATGCTGATGATGATGCTGATGTTGATGATGAGGATGCGGATGATTATGCTGATGCTGATGCTGATGATACTTATGATGATGATGCTGATGATGCTGATGATTGGAATGCTGATGATGTTGCTGCTGCTGATGATGATGATGATGCTCACGACGATGATGATGATGATGATGATGATGATGATGATGATGATGATGATGATGATGATGATGATGATGATGCTGATGATGATGATGATGCTGATTCTGATGCTGCTGATTCTGATGCTGCTGATGCGGATGATGGCGGTGATGATGATGATTCTGATGCTGATGCTGATGCTTATGATGCTGATGCTGCTGACGATGATGAGGATGAGGATGAGGATCATAATGATGATGCTGATTACGATGATGATGCTGCTGATGATGGTGATGTTGTTGATGCTGACGTTGATGACGATGCTCATGCTGCTGCTGATGCTGATGATACTGCTGATGCTGATGATGATGCTGGTGATGATGGTGATTGTGATAATGATGATGGTGGTGATGATGATGATGATGATGCTGATGTTTACGATGCTGCTGTTGATGATGATGATGATGATGGTACTGATGATGATGCTGATGATGAGGCTGCCGGTAAATATGCTGAGGTTGAAGTTGATGATACGGATGGTGATACTGCTGATGATGCTGATTCTTATTCTTGTTGATGATGATGCTGACGATGATGACGATGCTGGTCATGCGGACGGTGATGATGATGATGCTGATGATGATGATGACGATGCTGATGATGCTGGTGATACTGATGATGATGATGCTGATGATGATGGTGATGGTGATGGTGATGGTGATGATGATGATGATGATGATGATGATGATGATGATGCGGCTGCTGCTGATGACGATGCCGATGCTGATGATGATGACGATGATGATGATGACGATGATGATGTTGATCATGCTGCTGATGATGCTGATGAAGCTGATGATGATGATGATGATAATGATGATGATGATGATGATGATGATGATGATGATGATGCTGATGATGATTATGATGCTGAGTATGCTGCTGATGATGATGACGATGATGAGGATGATGATGATGGTGGTGATGGTGATGGTGATGGTGATGGTGATGGTGATGGTGATGATGATGATGATGATGATGATGATGATGATGATGATGATGATGATAATGATGATGATGATGATGATGATGGGGATGCTGATGATGATGATGATGATGCTGTGATGATGATGATGATGATGATGATGATGTGATGATGATGAGATGATGATGATGATGATGATTGATTGATATGATGATGATGATGATGATGATGATGATGATGATGATATGAGATGATGATGATGATGATGATGATGATATGATGATGATGATGATGATGATGCTGCGCTGCTGATGAGGCTGATGATGCTGCTGAGGAGGAGGAGGACGAGGAGGAGGAGGAGGAGGCGACGGAGAGGAGGATGCTGCTGAGGAGGAGGAGAGGAGGAGGAGGAGGAGGATGAGGAGGAGGA